GTGTTTCCAGTTTATGTGGCCAGTCTCCCCCTCAAAAAGAAAGCTGTAATTTATGTATAGGGATTTAGACTCCTAATATAATTGCAAAGAAGAGAAAATTACTAGAATTTTTTTTAAAAAAGCAATCAAAATGACTGGTTAATGAAGCAGAATGTTGGATCTCCCTTGGTATCATGAATGTTAGAAGAGTTACAGTAAATCATTCTGCACCATCCCTCTGCCAGCACAGAGTTTGACTTGATAGTTTATTTGCCATGGCCAGACTTTATCTCTGTACCAGATTCATCTACACACCTTTGTATGAGTTGTAGTGAGACTTTGACAGTGTAAATGATTGCTTTCTTCTCTCTTATTTTAGAATTCACTCCACAACCTGTTTGCTTCATCTTGCTAATATAGCCAGATCCTCATCTAATGCATTTTGGTGCAACTCTGTTGTTCTGGCTCATTGTATATAATTAGCATATATTTTCCTTTATTTTAAAACATTATTTTTATTTAGGATGCCATAAGAAGAGGGTAGAAACACACAGTATGTTCATAGGCAAGCTCTAACAAATTTAGAACTGCGTTTGTAACAGGGAAAAGAACTATGGTTCAGTGAAATAATATACGTCAGGAGTGGTTGAATCATGAGCCTTACCAACAACTATTTTTTATTGCATAATAAACAGATAAGACATCCCAAAAAGAAAAGTCTAACAAATCAGTTTAAGTATAACATTTAGAATCAGATTACATTGTGGTAGTAGTCTGTACTATTAATGAGAATGGAGGAAGAGGCTGCTTTCTTCCTGGGTTATTCAGCATTAGAAGACAGGGAGGTAAGGAGCAGAGCTGGAAGAACTCATGATATGAAAAAGAGGAAAGAGCAAGATGTGTAGCAGAGGGAGAGCTTTGTGCTCTACAGAGACAACTAAAGTGTGATTTAATGTAAATATTCTTTGTGTATTTGTGCAGTAAATAATAACACTTACCTTCCTGTAGCTGTTCAAATTGCCAGAGGCCCTCCTGCTTTTCATACAGAAACATTTTACTTTTCAAGCCCCAGCTTTACCTGTGCTGGAATTTTTAACCAGCAATTATTAATATTTATTACTTAAGAACAACATTTCTTTGGAGAAGGCTATGAACAGTACCTTCTGCCAGGCATTGCACAAACACAGGCACATTGCTCTGAGGAATGTATGGTTTACACAATTTGGCTGCACGGCAGGTTTCCCACCGCGCAGACACTGCTAATGCTGACACACTTCACCCCTGCTCAGACCCCAGCAAGGCGTCCTGGAGGGAGGCTCTGTCCCTGCAAGAGTTCGTATGAGTGTGGTTAGACACAAGGTTACAATGTCATTATAAACAGGGGGATGATAGCAGATTTGGCTTCCTGCTGGAGGTACGGTATAGGGCAGTGTATTGCCTCATGAGGAAGCAGTGACAAGTATTTACAGAATTTGCTTGTAAAAGTCAATTTGCATGAAGCACTACCTACCTGACTGGGAAACTGAAAGTTTCGATGGTGCCACACGGTTCTGCTGAGCAATTCTTGATAAAGTTAATGGGGATATAATTTCCAAGGGTGGTTTTTCAGGTTGGATGCAAGCTTAATGTGGGGAGAGTGGGAAGTGCTCAGCCCTTTCCCTCTTCACCATTTCATTTCCACCCTGTGCAAGGTGACAGGGAGAGATGCCTGAATATGAGGGTGTGATTGGGGTCCTGGGTGCTGCACAGCTCTGGGTAAGCTGAGCTCCTGGGACTGTGCTAGAGAAAGGGGAATGGGAAATAAAGCCTTTTCTATTCCCTCCTTCCCTGATAAATCCACACCTTGTTCTGGACTATTTTTAGGGGTGATTTTTTGAGTCATTAGTTGCTCGTGCACCATCTGCTTGAATTTGCAAATGAAACAATACCTCAAAGAGATAGGAGCTGTCTCTATCCATCTCTACAGGGTGTAATTTATGAAACCTAAATTTAAATGGTAACCATGTTTAAATGTGCTACTGTAGATCATATTAGTAGTAATGCCAGCTATTCTGGGGTTGTGGAAAGAGTTTGGGATCAGGGCGGAGTTTATAAGTACTCCCTCTTCTCAGTTTCCTGGTTAACATCATTCTCTTAGATGATAGCATTATAAATTATTTCAGACTAGTTCTTTCTGTCTCTACTTAAAAGCAGTATGATCTCACCACAGCATCTCTTTAGCTTAGTTCATCCTGTGTTTCAAAGCTTCACAGAAAATGCTTCCTAGAAGAAAAGAAGATCCTGGGGCTCACGAGGGTTTTTGGTTTCAGGAACTGGACACAGCGTGACTGAAACTGTAAGAGGTATTGAGGGCATGCCATGCAGACAGGGAGCTGGAATAACACGAGCCTCAGATTTTTAAGCTTTATCCTTGTCTGAGAGCCCTTCCCAAATGACTGGTGCTGTCTGACTGTAAACCAGAGGCGTTTGATAACTCCACTGCATCAAACACCTGTCAAGTCAAAATCTCAGAAACAAAAGAATTATTTTCAAAAGCCCACCATGGTTTCTAAGCAATGTATTTACTTGTCACATCATTTGCAAAATCCACACTTTTGCAAGTAAGGATATGAATAGTTTAGAACATCGTAAATCTCACAGTACCCATGTTATGAACCACATTTCATTAAGTATAAAAACACATTTCAAAAATTCATAACCTTCGTTTTGACTCATAGTTTGCATGTTTTGTTTTTGTTTTAAATGTAGTGTTAGTATTTTAATGTACTGTTTTTCTTCTGTGAATGAATGATTGTTTTGAAATATTTGCTGCTTTTTTCAACTCTTGAGCACATCTGATTACTATTTGGGCTTATTTTAATGGGAGGAAAAACAGTTTTCTAGACCTCATTATTATTGAGAAAAAACTTGAAAATACGATCTGAACAGCTCAAAAAACAAGACATATAAATCCTCTCATGCATTTAAAAACCTGATGATTTTGGGAACCTGAATCCTGCTTTTTCTGTGCTAGCTATCAGCAATGCCATTTTGTCCAATTGTCCTGCTCCTTTGCAAAACACTCTCTTCTTTTCATCAAGAAAAAGCCTTGAATTTTTCAGACCTGAGAAACTTTCCAAGTCAAAGCCAATAAAGGAGCTGAAATGGAAACTGATCGCAGCCTTGACTATGTAGAAACTTCTATCCCTCTCTAATAGCATGATCTGGAATGCTTATTGTCTTTACTTTCAATCTCTTTCCCATTATTAGATTTTAAATTTAACTCTGCTGTACAGCATTCCTAGTGAGCAGTTTGCTTTTATTAACTGAGGGTCTATTTGCTCTACCTAAACCTCTGAAATCAAAGAGTAATGGTGAGGAAATGGGTGGCAGTTTCTCGCAGATTAGTGTCACATAATGAGCTATAGTTTTGAATTATAGACACAAGTTGTATATATGCCGCCACGGCAGAAGAGCCACAGAGGAGATTGTTCTGGTACCAGAACAAAGGCTAGGAGACTGGGACACTGCTCTTTTGTCTGTAATACAGCTGGTGAATGGACTGGGAAGAACAGCTTGAATGAGCTGCTGTATAATAAATGGTTTAACAAAGGAGATAAGCTGAATTTCCTAACTCGATGGGCAAGCAAAAGAGACCTGTGTTAAAAAGTGGTGACTTAAAAGATGCAACTGTGTGAACTGGTGGTATCTGCTTGCTGTAGCTCAGGGTCAGATCTAGACACAGGCAGCAGGAGGAGGGCAGCAGTCTGCCTGGAGCCAGACTGCTGCAGACCCTTTTGCTATGCCAGCGTGCCCATGTTGTGATGGGGATGCCAGAGGTGATGGTGATGGGATAGGAGGAAACCAGCTCGACTCTCCAACATTCTTGCTTTGCCCTTTCCCCTTCCTCCTTCCCTACCCAATCTGTAGCAGAGACATGCTGGCCTTCTCCCATCCCCACAGCAGTGATTTCACATTCATGTTGGAGAAGCAGCGCTCTGCTCTCTCACCTGTGTTTGTAGGCAGACTACCCAATCCCTGGTTTTGTGGAGAAGGTACATAGTGTAGCAGTGACATCCCACCTCCTTGAGGAGCCTTACTCCTTGAGACTATCTATCTCATTACTGGCTGGGCAGACACAGAAGCCAGTGAAGAAATGATGATATGAAAGGCCCTGCTTGGAGTCAGGCCAAAAAGCATGCTTCAGAAGAGCTCCATGGTGAGGAGAATGTAAAAGGCTTAAAGGAGGATGGTTGAGACACCATGTGACAATCTGGCACAACAGCAAGCTGAAGGGAAGCAGCTTGGACAACAGGAGGATGGTACCCAAACAAATGGCTGCACAGAGAGTGGCTGGGAAGCCTTAAGGGAAACATTTGACTTTTCCCAGAAGGAAACTGCAGGGGTGTCAGCTCGGGGTGGTAGCCTGCTGGGGCTGCGGATGTAAGAGGCATGGCTACAAGGGTTGGCCATTCGCAGCGAGTGGAGGTGTTAGTGTAGAAAACCAGCCAGAAAGCGTCATGACCAGAAGTCCTCATAGTTTTGCCTGCCAAGAGGGCTGTCATCTTCATCAGGAAAGGATCGTCTTTCAGGGCTGTCGCACCAAGAACTGCAGCTCAGGAGCCCTTGTCACAAATAGCCATTGTCAAGAAGAGCCTGGAGGTCGAGGTGTAGTGAGCAAAGGCTGCATCTAGGGACTCAAAACTCAAAAGCAAAGTGCACGTCATTCTGGACAGCCAGATTTCTCTGCAATAAATATAAAGCTACTAAGCTACTAGTGGTGCAAGTCTGGATGCTTTGATGGGAATGATTGTCGTACTTGATTTAGAGCTGAACTAAATGTGTGTGTTAATGGCAAGTATATAGGTGCAAGCAAGGAGATAGGGCTAGTTTGGGGAGCAAGGAAGGTGCAATATGAACTTACAAAGGTTGTTTTAGGGGGAGCACAGCAGCCTGGACACGCCCTTTCCTGGCT